GCTGTGTTTCCGTTGCCTCAAAGTGAGAAGATTTCGCCACGCCTGCAAGAGCAAGAGATGTGGAGTGGATGAGTGCACGCAGACTCATCACCCTCTGCTGCACACCACGCGACAACAGCCGGAGAATGAAGTGACAACACACGTCGTCGAGGACAAGTCCGCCGCAGTCACCGCATCGGCAAGGGAAAACGACAAGATCGCGTTCCTGAAGATCCTGCCGATACGAGTCACCGGTCCCACGGGAACGTGCGACACCTACGCGCTACTGGACGACGGGTCGACTTGCACCATCATCGAGACGACGGTGGCGGAGCGAATCGGTGCTACGGGTCCCCCGCACCATTCTACATGGAAGGTGTGGCCGGGGCACGGATCAACGCAGCTCAATCGACGCGTGTTCACTTCAAGATCCGCGGGCGGAATTCACAAGAATACACAGTGGGGGCACGGACGATGGACAGACTGCAGTTATCACCGCAGTCGGTACCGCGCAGCGTCATCAAGGGCTGTCCACATCTGCGGGACATAGAGAGGGAATTGGTCTATGAAGAGGGCAAACCGACGGTACTGTTGGGGCAAGACAACTGGCACCTACTGCTGGCCCACGAAGTCAGAAGAGGATCCGACACGCAGCCGGTCGCATCACTCACCGACCTGGGATGGGTACTGCACGGTACGAGTCGCGGCAGGACAAGACAGCAGGTGCACAGAATCAGCCACATAGTGACGACACATGAAGAGGAACAATCGATGGAAGAAATGATGAAGCAACATTTCGCGCTCGAATCGCTGGGGATCGCACCGAAGAGGTCTTACAATGAAGAAGAACGTCGCGCCCTACGCATCTTAAAGGAGAAAACTCGTCCGTTACCGGCGGGAGGATACGAGACGGGGTTACTATGGAAGAAGGACGACCCTGTGCCGCCGGACAACTACGAATCGGCAATGCGACGTCTCCAACTGGTCGAAAGGAAACTCGACAAGAATGAAGAAATTAAGAAGAGGTATGAACAGCAAATGGACACGCTACTCAAGAACGGGTATGCTGAAGTCGCCCCGCCACGGAGTTCCCAACGGGTGTGGTACCTGCCACACTTCGCCGTCATCAACCCGCAGAAACCGGGGAAACTGCGGATCGTGCACGACGCAGCAGCCAAGACGAAGGGCATCAGTTTGAACGACATGCTGCTGCCGGGCCCCGACTTACTTCAATCGCTACCGGGGGTCCTCATGCGGTTCCGGCAACGACGGGTGGCAGTCACGGCGGACATAAAGGACATGTTCATGCGGGTCACCATACGGGAAGAAGATAGGGACATGCAACGATTCCTGTGGCGAGGAGATCGACGAGAGGGTCCACCTGTGGAATATAGGATGAAGAGTGTCATATTCGGCGCAACATCGTCACCGTGTACAGCGATCTACATCAAGAACAAGAACGCAGAACAGTACAAGGAAGAGTTCCCGGAGGCAGCAACGGCGGTGGTCATGAACCACTACGTCGACGACTACCTCGCCAGCTTCGACACGGAAGAGCAAGCCGTACGCGTCTCAAGACAGGTCGCACAGATCCACGGTCGAGCCAACTACTATCTCCAACGGTGGGCGTCGAACTCGCATCAAGTGCGCGCCGCGTTCTCCGACACCGGCGGGGACAGCGTGGTACAACTCGACGCGGAGAAGATACTGGGGATGGTATGGCGACCTTCTGAAGACACCTTAGGCTTCAACTTCAACGGACACAAGCTTCCGCCACAGATAGCTAGCGGGGAACAGACGCCGACGAAGAGGGAAGCGCTACGAGCAATCATGTCGCTGTTCGATCCACTGGGCCTCGCCACTCCCATCACCATACAGGCGAAGAAGATATTGCAGGAGACGTGGCGTACCGGTATCGACTGGGACACCGAGCTGCAACCACGGGAAGCGGACGCCTGGCGGAGCTGGATGGACCACGTGCGACGGCTGTCCGCGCTGGAGGTGCCGCGGTGCTACCCGGAGGTAGCCACGGCCGATACAGCGGAGCTGCACACATTCGTCGACGCCAGCTCGGACGCGTACGCCTGTGCCGTGTACTGGCGGGCCGTAAGCGCGACCGGCGAGGTCCACGTGTCGCTGATCGCGGCAAAGGGACGAGTGGCCCCACTCAGCAAAGTGACCACGATACCGCGACTGGAGCTGCAAGCGGCCGTCCTCGGGTGTCGCCTATCGCGCACGGCAGTCGAAGAACACGACCTGAAGCCCGCTCGCCGAGTATACTGGTCGGACTCACGCACCGTGCTCGCATGGCTACGCACCGGTCCTCGCGCATACAAGCCGTTCGTCGCGCATAGAGTCGCCGAGATCGTCGAAGAAACGAAGACGAACGAGTGGAGATGGATACCGACGCGGCACAACGTAGCAGACGACGCCACACGCGACCCACCGACGGACTTCGGCTCGCAGCATAGATGGTTCCGTGGGCCGGACTTCCTGTACCTCCCCGAAGAGCAGTGGCCGCGTGAAGATAGTACGAGCGACGATAGTCAAGCGGAAACGGGAGAAGAACGCGTACACAAGCTACAGAACGCGACGCAGTTGTCTATAGCATTACCCGATCCGTCACGTTTTTCTAATTGGTTGAAACTTGTTCGCAGTTCAGCACGGGTGTTGCAGTTCATCGACCTCCTGCGACCGACCAGTCAACGCTGTACCGCCATCCGAAAGAGGAACAAGAAGAAAGAGAGCACCGACCCCACTTGGACCCGCACGAAGAAAGTCGATAGAGAGAAGACGAAGATGAAAATCAAGAACAGCAATAGTCCATCTATGTGTTTCATCCCCATAGACACACACTACCTAGATCGCGCGCGACGGCTATGGATTCGCGCGATGCAACAAGAGGCGTTCGGCGACGAAATCGCAGCATTAAAATGAGGGAAACAGCTGCCGTCATCCAGTCGACTCATACAGCTGTCAGTCGTCATAGACAACGACGACATTCTGCGACTTCGATCGAGAATAGCAGCCGCCGCCGATCTGTCAGCCGAGCAACGAGAGCCCCCCATCGTCGACGGAAACCACGCCTGGGTGCGCCTATACATCGCATGGGTGCATCGGAAACTTCACCACGGCGGCTTCGAGATCACCACGATCGAGGTGCGACAACACTTGTGGGTGTTGCGCCTACGACACACCGTCCGCAGTGAACTGAAGAGGTGTTAGCTGTGCCGCCTACGAAGAGCAAGACCGGCGCAGCCGTCAACGGGCAACCATCCACAGAGCAGGCTGGCGCATCATCAACGACCGTTCACGTTCACCGGCCTAGACTACTTCGGGCCTATGACCGTGACAGTGGGCCGCACTCACCAGAAGCGGTACGGAGTGCTCTTCACCTGCCTAACGACGCGCGCAGTCCACCTAGAAATCGCCGGCAGCCTCAGCACGGACTCCGCCATAATGGCCCTGCGGCGCTTCATAAGCCGCAGAGGGTGTCCCACTGAGCTATGGTCCGACCAAGGCACCAACCTCAAAGGTGCTGACGTCGAACTGAAGAAAGCAGCCGAGGAAGCCATCCAAGAAGAGTCATCAGTTCATTTCATCCGGTGGCGCTACATTCCCCCGAGCGCACCCTTCATGGGAGGTGCGTGGGAACGGTTGGTGCGTAGTGTGAAGACCGCACTAGCCGCTACGTTGAACGAGCGGGCCCCCAAGGAAGAGGTCCTCCACACTCTGCTGGTCGAGGTCGAGCACACCCTCAATAGTCGACCGCTAACCCACGTGTCAACATCGGCAGACGACGACAGCGCCCTAACCCCCAATCACTTCATATTGGGCAGTTCATCGCGCGTCCCACTGCCAGGCAGCTTCACAGAGAGCGACGCGGCGGGACACAAGGAGTGGCGTGCCAGCCAGAGGCTAGCTGACTGCTTCTGGAACCGGTGGGTGAAGGAGTACCTACCCGAGTTGCAACACCGGCGGGAGCCCCGAGCTACACGCGGAGCCATCAAAATGGACGACCTGGTCCTAATAGCTGATGGGACCTTGCCTCGCAACACGTGGCCGCGAGGCGTGGTGGTGGCAACCTACCCTGGACCAGACGGCGAGATCCGAGCGGTCGACGTGCGGACGAACAAGGGCATTCTACGGCGACCCACTAAGAAGCTGATCATACTGCCCACATCGACATCGAGCGACGCGAACACGAGTTAACTCCAGCTACGAGAGCTGCGGCGGGAGATTATGTTCGCGACATTATTTGTATATGTGTAATTATAGCGATATTTATAGCAATGTTTATAGTTAGTTGTTAAGTTTCTAGTTTAATCGTTTTTTGTATTCTGTAATTTTATATAGATTTACATAGATTTAAGATACCTATAGTGTAAGTTAAATAAAGTATTCCTTTGTGTGTTGTCATTATTACCTACAAATAGAAATAGAAATTGTAACAATAAATAGAATTAAGAAATTGTAAATTGCAATAAATAAATAAACGCTATAGAGTACCGATCTGAAGAGACACGCGTCTCGTTCATTCTCGCCCCGTCCCGCTCGCGCAGATTCGCTAACGCGAGTTGGAAACGTTATCGTGCGAGCGGGCGGGTATAAAGATAGGCCGCCTCCCGTCGAGCGGCATTCGCTTCCGGGCAGCGACGCACTACACTCGAGAAGAAATAGGACAAGAAGAAAAAATACTCTCTTCAGACGGTACCGGAGGCTTCAGAATAGTAATCGCTGTGTTTCACTCCAGCCTGAACCAACGCCCCTACAGTCCACGCTCACCGAACGGCAGTCCACACCGTTCAATTCTTAATTTAAAATTAATAATATAATAATAAATTATAAAAATATTACGAATTGCAGAATTAGCAATTTTATTTTCTTACTAATTGGATTTGATATCCATAATAGGTTTTATAAATTTGTATCTTCTTTAATTCTTTAAGGACTGTAAATTGCTTTTCACACTTTTAAACACGGCTCTTATTGCATACCTAGCATTAGTATTCATTTGTTACCTTTTCTGATTTTATTCTTGTAGCTGCCTTCTCGAACTCTGGTTTAATACGTTTGCAATGGCCGCACCACGGTGCGTAGAACACAACCAAAGCGTGTTCAGCTTTTGATAATACGCTGTTGAAATTTTCCGCTAAAACCAATCATTCCATAAGATTTCCTATTAATTTGTTTATAGATGGCAATTTTAAAACTTCAATGTATATTTTTATGTAGTAGGTAAAAGCAAAAGATGTGTTGCGAATTTTAGAGTCCTTGCTAAGTTTTTTTAATTTTACTAAAGCTACTATTATTCTTAAGACGAAACTTTGCAAATATGCTTATATGTCTGTAAATTATAGAGTAGATAAAAAGGATCAGGTATTTGTTATTGTGCTGTAAAAAATAATCACAACATAAATCGAAATTCTCTAAAAGATAATTATTGTTAATAAAACTATAAATATTTATAACCTTTTATAATTTTCTTTGTAAATATACTAGCCCAATAATACATATTTCTAAAACAATTCAGGTCTACGTAACTAAAACTGTAGAGATGACACGTAATTCAATGTGACATTAGAAGTCGATAAAGAAGATATCGATCATAAAAAGAACAAAACCTGTTTAGTACATATTCCTAGTGGCCTAGAGATTTAATGCAAGAATATTATGTATTTTTCGTGATGGATGCACTTCGGGTGGTAATAATCTACTCGCTGTACAGCTAGTTGCTGCTTTCCAAATATGAATTATGTAATAAGTTTAAAGTGTATTTCATTAGATATGACCATTGGTTATCAAGTAACTATAATATAAGCTCCGTTTAGCTTTGACTTGATTACTGTGTACCTATATGTCGTTGTTTTTCAACTCGGCTTGACAGTTAATTCGCTATTAGGTATGGATCATCTAATTAGATGAAAATATTATCCTACTAATCATTTTATAGATTAAGGTTAATTCCTGTGGCATTTTCATTTTATGCTACTAATAATACCTGTAATAACTGCCTAGTTGACAATATTTTAACATGGAAAATAGTTTTGTATCAAAATAAACTATGATTTAAAAATAAACAACAAAATGGTCCAAGCTTAATTTATCACTGAAGCACTGGACAATATACAATATACAGCTGATATGGGCGTAAAACTCTGGGTCGCTACTACTTTTACTACTGTCGGTACTAATTTTACGTGGGATGTCCTTATGTCTATCTACTATTAATACTTTCTTTGTACAAAATCAATAAATCTATTTTATATTATATTAGTAATAGCGTTTTAAAATAAATAGATAAAAACAAAACACCATACCATAACATTCCATTAACAGCCTACTAATAACATGAGTGATATTAAACATCATAATGAAATATATTGTGCTATTTATGGAACCTCTCATTAATTATTAACGTTCAGAACTAAGATAATATGCCCGTTATCTTATGTCAAAGATAATTCTTATGATGGATCATTATATTTTAGCTAGAGTTGCCTATCACATTCATGAACTATGATATCAATGCGTTCGTCCAAGTTGTTATAGTTATATATTATGCTATTATAAATAAATTATACCAACCGTCTAGATGCACTACATCAGTATTTTGAGACCAAATTTCATTAATCTCTTCAGTTTTTTTCTGTTGTAAATGTATTATGGGATTTCTTATGAAGTCTACTATCGCTTGTTTGTTATTCTCACCATTATAGGGGAACCTGTACTGGCCTCTCCTGTGATTACAAACCAAACATTAATTGTAAACAATGATATATTTCTGAAACTCAATAAGTTTTTAGAATCTGGAATAAACTTTGTTCCATTCATATATGGATTATTCATAATTTTTAAATTTAAACTAAAACGAAGTTTGATACAAAATTTACAAAAAGTACTTACTCTTTTTATATACATACATATATATACATATTACTTTGTAGTAACAACATTCAATAATGATAATAATAGTGCATAATAATAAATAAATAAATTATATACTTATACTCACTCATAGTACAAAAGCGTTGGAAAACCAGTTATATTATAAACTTGTCTAATTTTCGAGTTACCCGGTTTAGCAACATCAATAGCCGCCAATAAAGCTTCGCCCTGAAAAAGTAGTAAAAAAAATATTTGTTAAATGAAAACAATAAACTTAGATATAAACACCAAAGGAGTGAATTTAATGACAGCATAGTTTAATGACAGCCACACTAAAACAATACTAAAACATATATATTATATTATAATTCATATATTACATAGATATATCATATACATAACAAAGAAAATGTAACATTTAATTATTAATGACAATGTTACCTTTAAATCAGTAGCAGCTGCTACATATTCTGGTTTTAAAGTTTTACAGTATCCACACCATGGGGCATAGAACATAATCATTGATTTCTTAAGTGCAGCTGCTCCCTTCTTGAGAAATTTAATTAGTGCCTAGAAATCAAACATGAAATGTAAAAGAAAAATTATAATCATATTAACTAAATCTGTTAATCATTGTTTGTGAATTGCACATAAATTTTAATATTTTTACATTCTTCCAATTTCAAATCTAAAGCTTTCAAACACTTTTCCAAAGTTTTTGTGATTGATTAAAAAAAATCCAATTAATTAGATCATTGTCCATTTAAAAAAACATTAAAATTCTTCATGAAAACTCTATCAGACAATTCCATTGTTCCACGCTACAGGAATATAAAAAAACAATTCAATAAATATTTTTAGTAACAATTTAATATTGAAATTTATAGTAATGCAAACATGAAATAAAATAAATAAAATAATAGAAACACCACTTAATAATTACCTCACCATCTTGTAAGTGAACTATGTCTTTAGCAGTTGAATCTTCCTCCCAAGGCAAGTCTCCAGTAGGGTCTCGAAGAAAATTTGTCATAGAGTTAACAGTTTCACTTCGGTCATAGTCCTTATGATAGTCACCATCTTTGTAATGTTTTAAGCAGTAAGGATTTGATGACGGCACCTTCATTTTTTTACATAATTTCTTACCTGCACTAGAAACAGTTAATAAATACATTAAGGTCATCACTTATTACAATTACACCATTCTAAACCATTTTTAATTTTAATTCAAGTTCTAACGTATGGTATGTTCAACAATAATAAAATACTATAAATATGTATAATGTAAAATATGTATGTAAATACTATCTGTATTCCAAAACTTTGCCCATGGGAATCAGTATATAAAGCATCCTATATATTATACTAAATCAGGATATAACCTATCTAAGTGTATCAAATTTCATTCAAATCTATTTAATAGCTTTTGAATGAAAGATTAAAAAAGTTCCTTTTGTCTTTATTAATAGCTATATAGTTTCAATATCAATTTTCATCCAAATTTATTATTTAGTTTATATACATTTAAGAATCAAATACCAAAAACCTGATAATCATTATTTCCCATTGGCCATATGAAATATTTTTAACATGTATACTTAAATATAATAATAGTGATAATAGAACATTACCTATTACTACAGTCAATGATAACTAGAGTTGCCTGCCCCTTTACGGCATCAGCTGTCTCCTTAAACACATCTATAATAGACTGTGAAGATTTTGGTATGCTCAAATATAGTATTAAAATATTTATTTTAGTCCTCAATAGCTTCTTAAATTCTTTTATATCCTCTATATCTGTAACAACTGCCGACTTTTGTTTCTTGGCTTGAACAGATATTTGTACTAATATGAATAATAATGGCAGAAATACCTAAAAAAAATGTCTTGATTAATCAACAAAAGTTGAGTGTCTTGTCCATTCTTATTAACTAAAATTGCATTTGAACTTAATCATCATCATTATCATATTCTCAATATAGCTTTACAGTACATATGTATATACAAACATTTTACATACATACAGGAATCTTCAGCTGTTTCTTAAATACAGCAATCTTAATAATATTTATAAATACAAACTCCCTGTTCCAAAGTATGGTTTAGAAAATATATAGGTCTTTAAAAGGAATAGGCATTTAATGTTATAATAAAGTACTGAGCATATTTTTGATCTCCCTTTTACTAACCTAACTTAACCAAAAGCACCACCAGCATATAGATAGATAGATACTTCCTCTTTATATTTTTATATTCTTTATATTTTTTAAACAATTACAAGAAGTAATTATAATGAGAAAATAATAGGTGTAAAAATAAAATAATATAACCTTATCACTAAAAGCAATTTCTTCCAGGCAACATTTGGATGGAGAGAATTAATTATAAACGGTTTGATCAGAGGCAGAATGAAATTCTATTATTTCTTAATATAGAGATATAATACATGTAATAATGTAATATATATATATATCCCTTCTCATTATATACACGTATATACTATTATTTATATATATATATATATATATATATATATATAAACATCTACACAGATACATAAAAATATATGAATACTGCTTACATGTATACATAAAATACAGTGATAAAATCTTTAGATATCTGAAGAAATAAGTATGCTAACCAGACAAATAAACAAATTAAGAAGATGATAACTCAAATAAAAATCTTTAATTTTCTTAAAAAAAATAATATAATACCGAAACATATAGGGGAAAGGGATTGTTAGCAATGGAGTTTGACAGCCCCATTGCTAGCAATATGCCTTATTAGGTCGACCTCCACGTGGTTTCCCATGGAAACCATCATGAACAATTCTTGTTGAATTCATCACAATGGGCTAACTGACCTACTTCATCCTCATCTATCATCCTTCACTGGTGCCCCACCGGTGTATACCGACAGCATGGGTGAGGTTACCATTCCATTATCATTAATTTAAAAAAAAACAGAAACATATACCAATAGCACAGGCAGGGTCACCATTATCACCCGTTAAAAAACTACTCTATTGTTAGGGGGGGGAGAAGGGATTGTTAGTAATGAGGATTAGTAGCCCCAATGCTAGCAATATGTCCTGTCAGGTAAACCTCCTCGTGGTTCCCCCTGGAATCCATAGTGATTGATTTATTGTTAGATTCATTATCATTAAAAATCTTTATTTACTCTTTATTTTATCTTCTTTTACTCAGACAACTACAGTATTGATATACATAGGGAACCAGAGAAACATATAAATTGGATACTGGAAGCAGCAAGTTTTTACTATTAGATTTGCTAGAAAAGTAAACTTTGTGGATAGTTTTAACTAATTGTCAGAAACCCAGAATTAATGACCAGACGTACACTATAAATATATTAAGATAAAAAAAAATTATATGGAGTGTGTACAGAGAATATTTCAGGTTATATTATATTTTTTCAAGGCACTGGTTGTCTTACTTACTTTCCAAAACAGCTTTGGACGCATGATTATTGACTGTGTATCCTATAATATGTAATCCCAACTGAAATGTAATTCACTGAAATTGAAGATAGACACTATATCACCAGTCTTATCCTAATTATAAATAAACGTAATAATGTTAATTGAAATTTGAATAAAAAACGACAATAATGAATAAGTAGTTAGGTAGAAACAAGTACAAGTAACTACCACAGATTAGAGAGACTATATTAAGACCTACGTACAGTGCACAGATTAGAGAGACTATGTCTAAACTAGTCTAAACCTTAGGTCTAAACCAAAGATTTCGGAATAGAAATTCCGAAATCTTTGGTATAAACTATGAATTGAGAAAAATAGCAACTGATAGTATATCTTTTGTCCTCTTTTTACTAATTATATTTGTATGTATAAAAAAGGAGGCGACCATACGATTTGCTGTTTTAATTTTATTATCTTCCTTCTGTTATTTCTCAGAAAACAAGAATTTCTTATCAAAGATTTTGTAACTCCTTGTTTTTAGGTTTCAGGTACGGTGACCTTAAAGGTAATAACACAAAAACGGCATAGTTGTAAATTAAAAACCCTATATTTGGAACAAAAATCGGTATATGAAAACAAATATCACTATATAATCATATCTCATTTCTTTTAAACTTCAGGAATTGTTATATATAATTTTTTTTTCAATAAAGTAATTAAAATTAATAATAGTGAGCATTTATCATAAAAATTGAGTATACTATTTAAATATATCAACAAATCACAATAAAATTGTATTAACAATAAATAGATAACTATAATTTAAACTTTAGGCTTATTAACAAAAAATGCAGGATACAGAATGTAATATCTATTCTGTGACCTAACTTCAATTATAGGTACATAATTATCTAATACCAAATCGTCGATTGTTGAACGAATGCCCATTGACAGTGAAAGGAACGACTTGTCACAGCTTTATTAAAAAAAGAAAAATAAATGTCAAATGAACATTAACATCCGATCTGATTACACTCAAAAACATCACTTTAAAAAATTGTTTTTATTCTATGTAAACATATTTATGCAATATTAATTTTTTTTTATATATTTAAGAAAATGTTGAAAATTAATAAATACTTAAGGTATCCTGAAGGACGTTTTTATTCTTTACTGTGCACGATTTATTGTGAACTTCTACGTTATTGTCATACAGTTCTATGATAAATTGTGCAAATTAACGCTTTTATACTTTGCCACGGACGTCTACGACATCATGTAGTTTCGATGCCATTTTCTTTATTTATTTTACTAGTTTTTATTTATTTAATCTACATATACATTACTTAGTTTATTTGTTCAGGTAAAATCTTGTAATGTAAATTAGGACCAATCAACGTATCCAATTTTGCTGTAATACTCGTAATTAAACTTTAGTTCTGTTGACATTACTTACCGTATGTAATATTTGATATTGTATTATTTTCAAAATTGCCGCCGTCACAAGATGGCGGATTACCACTATAGGTTTATTAAAAATTTGTCAACCATAAGGTGTTAGAAAATGGCGATGACTATTTTTTATATTTTTATAATATACAAAAATTCTATTAAATGACTTTAAATAATTTGATAATACTTTAATATCATTTTTTTACTTTTCATTTTTGAATTCTACTAAACTTAACAACATATTAACAAAATTTATTCAAAATTAACACTTACTTCTTTTTTAAATGGACGGAAAAAATATGCATGCCGTGATCGTGCACAACCACGTTGTTAATGTACGGAACGTTAAAAAACGTGACGATGAAAACGTACAATATGGTAAAGTTCCACGGAAAAGTATAAAAACGCCAGTAATAATAGACCAAAGTAGAAGCGTTTGCAGCAAATTTAAAATTCGGATGTTGTTTATTACGTTAAAATTATTCTGTAAAAGAATATTCACCTAAGAATGTGTGGTCGAATGAGTATTTTTGGGATATACTAAATTTACTGGACCGCCGCCACAGAGAGTCGAAAGGCAGGTTAGTTAGGTCAGGGCGCTTGTAATTTGGATATAGACGTATCCCCTCTAGAACAGTATTCTATATACGGCAGCGATACAGGATATCGATTTCGGAGGTTCTCGTTCAACGACGCAAACACTGACTGTGGGTGAAGGACTAAGTGCATGAGCACCAATGGATGGAATGAAGCGAAAACTATTATTATTAATTCTTCTATGCGATGAAATAGTGAAGTAGGAGTACTAGTTTTCTCTTTTGTTTTCTTCGGAAGTAAGTCGCTAGAGAGAGTAAAGATTGACACCATTAGCCCTATATTTATAGCGGCCTATCACGGCTGGCCTGAGGACTGATCAACAAACTAGAATCTTACCTCTGCTATTTAAAAAAAGGTACCTTACTAATTAAAAAAAGGTATAGTATACAATTCTGTACTTATGGCTGTAAGTAAGGATACTTTAAAGATGCATTTGATATTATTTATACGCTGCGCGGGATGCAGTTATGAAATAAACATGGATTTCCACAATTCGGGGCTTTTATATGTTCTCGCTTCCTTACCCCTGTATATAAATATCGGATGAAGAGTAACGCAAACGCGCACCGTTCTTGCCAGCGAGGTTAAAGACTTTAACTATACATTTTAGTGCTCAGGTGCTGAGTACCGGCACTTCATCAGAACCTAAATGACTCTTCCCCGTCCCTTAAGGTGGGGATTGAGATATAATGGTCTGAGCTGAGATTGAAACCGCCTTGCGGTGCTCATAATAATTAATTCGTATGCGATGGGCAGGAAACGGTAAAAGGCCGTTCCGTAAATCCTTCTGCGAATTTGGAGTGCCGTCTGCACTCATCCTGTTTTCATCCAGTAAAGTTGTAAAGGCAATCTGAAGTCAATTTCTTTGTATTTATATTTTTGTTTATTACTACGTAATTTATAAAGTAATATATATTATTTTAATATTAAGGATAGAAAAATTACAAGTGATGTTCTGTTTTTGAAAGGGCGTTATAATTTTGTCTGTAATGGCGCTTTTCAATATGACCATAATCCGCTATGATGGAACACACTATATTAATATTAGCTAGCGAGGATTACATAGATTTATACAACAACCTAATTCTAATTGTCCCAGGCGCTGTCAAATCAAATGTCAAATCAAATGGACATGTGACAATTTAATGTCGTGAGGGTGTAGTGTTGTACCGAAAAGTATTGTTTTATATTTGAATATTCTCTAAGTTATTAAGTATGAAACTGTATGAGTAATATTACATCCTATATGAATCTGAAGACTCAGATAAGTACCCAAGTATTGGTATTCGATTTCTTTATCATGTTCAAGTACGTTTTGAGTTTATTTCTGAACTTAACTTTTGTCATATGAATATTTTAATGTATTTACTAAGAATTCAAGAAGCAAAAATGTGTGCATTTTAATATTTCTCAATAACAAGCACAGGCGTATTTAAATTGAACATTTGGGTTGCATTACAATTTTGTATTGTTCGAGGAATTTGCCTGCGACTATTGAAAGATTAATATTATATAAATATCAGAGTCATGTTGCTTAATAAAATGAATCACTAATAAGATAACAATAGTAAATATTGAAATAATTAATAAAATAACCAGTTGCTTTTTAATTGTTCATTTATTATTGAAAGTCCAAGAACAAATTGCTATAGTCATGTTATATAGTTATTACCGATCCGTCCCCGCTTTGCAGGAATAAATAGATAGAAAGCTAAATTAGTGCTTCATATTAGCTTTAATGGGCATTTTTTTTAAACATTGCATTACATTATTGTAATATATATATATTTATAGGTGAAAAAGAAAGCAATTTTTAAAAGTGCGTGAGTAGATTTGATTTTTTTGATAGTATTATTTAAAAATTATTAATTCTTAATAATATTAGTATAGATAAAGAATTAAAGATGAAACAAAAATAAAAACTTACGAAAAACACTTTACCATATAAAAATCTCTGGCTACTAAAAGCTAATAACGTATTCCAGTTACTCGACACATGACATCACTATAGCCTGATTACCTACCATTTTCTGCCTTTAGTCTTATCTGTGATTGTGACTGACGTTATATACATACCGTACCTACCAATATATTGTTCACTTCAGTGTTAAAGTAAGGTCATTCAGGTCATATCAAAACTAGGTATTTCATTTTGAGTGGAGAGTATCAATTCTCTTTAGAGTAGCTTTGGGATTACTTGTTTCATTGGTTGTAAATTATAAAAGTGATATAATAATAGCCACAAGTAATACAATTACACATTTTAAATTTAACTGCATTTCTTTTCTAAGAGAACATAAGCCGGTACTTTTTGTTTAATTGAATTTCTACACAGATAACTGTAAGTTTTTTTTTATTTATATCAGACTATTTTAATTAAGAAATATTAATAATGTTAATACAGAAATATTTGTAAGTGTATATATTTTAATTATCATTGTAAATTTGATTATTAGCCGGGAATCGAAAGTTTATTTATAATTTGTTAATAATATATGTTAGCGAAACAAAATATTTTTTTTGCAAGTTCTAGAAATCCTTACTTTTTTATGACACTACAGCTGGATTTAAAATAATTTTATCTCCTATAAAGAAATTACAAGAAACTTGACAGTCATTCTTTTCAATGTAAATTGTAAAATAATTTTTAAATTTAGGAACAATGCAATATTCATAATCAACTTAAATGTTTATCACATTTATTGTTGTGCAGTAACAATTTTATGAATAGATTTTTTTTAAATAATGGGATAAATTATAGTCACACTCTTATTTAGGTAGACAGGTGGGGTGTCATCTGAAAAAAAAAAAACTGTATCAGTTGGTATTTTTATGCACTAATGTGCAATTTAATGAAAAGTAATTTTTTGGAATGCATATATTATTTTAGAGAGTTTATTTCTTATTCACCAAAAATTTCTTAATATTAATATTTCACAGTAAATTAGCTGTGGTATTAAACAGGAATATCTAATAAGATAAAGATTTAAAATAAAATAGTGTTATTAACACAGATCTATGGTATTTTTGTGTTATTGTGGCATATATATTTTTTTCATTTAATATCATTTTCACATTTCTCATTATATCATTTAAATTTTTATTATGATGTTGTATACTGCAGCTTTACCCATGTGAATTGGCTTAATGTATCATAAGTTTTAGGTAACAATAAAACTTGTGTATAAAATTTCAAACAAATCAATTCAATAGTTTTTGTGTTAAAGAGTAATAAACATCCATTCATAGGTAACAAATTTTAGTATTTAAAACAATACTGGGATTATAAATTTATATATGAGATTTGCTGGTTACCAGATATATATAATAATGATTTATTTTAAAGTGTAGATTTTTTAACTTGGAACAATTTTTCTTTTACAATGACTACTTATTTACTAATGTAATGTGGTTAGTAAAGAATAAATAAATAAAAGTCTAATAAAAAAAATATACTTAATTTAAGTCTCTCAAGTTATCTCAAGCCTAGATACCAAGTGTGACTTAATTTTAATCATAAGCCAAACAACCAAGAACCTTCCCGATTAAACCAGGTTGTTTATATATTTTGTTGATAAATAATTATCAACAATGTAGTTTCTGTTTTCAATATCCACAGTCAATTATTAGTATCTTAATTAAGCACATATACACAAACAACAAAATTAAGCTGGTAGTCATAAGTTGAACAAGCCTCATATATTTTTTTAATATGTAATTTTATTTAACAGTAAATATAAATCAATAAAATGGGTCGCAAATTTGTTGTTGGTGGCAACTGGAAGATGAATGGTGACAAAAACCAGATTTTTGAGATCATCAGCAACTTGAAGGAAGCATCCTTGGATTCCAATGTTGAGGTATTTATTAAATTAGTCATTATTGAATTTAAATTTATTTTAAAATAGGTTATTTAATGTAAACATGCATTTGAATCTAGGTATTCCAGTCGAACCACTACTGGTTTTCAAATTCATAATATTTATTACTCCAATAGAAATATTTTACATATTACATATTACAGGTGGTGCTGGGTATACCTGCCATTTATCTAGCTTATGTAAAGAGCATAGTGCCCGATAACATTGGAATAGCAGCTCAGAACTGCTGGAAAGCAGAGAAGGGTGCATTTACAGGTAATTAATATATATATGGCTAATAATCCATGTAATATTAAAATTGTATTTAAAAAACTTATTTATCCTATTCTCAAAATGCTTTTTGATCTTACCTTACTTATCAGTCCGACGATTTTTTAGTTATTTTTAGTGAAAAATAATCATAAAAGATGAGTATTTTTGATAAAAACGAGTAACCTTCATTTAACCTCTATGTAGTCACATTTATGATATTATCTTTGCCTATTTTATAAAAAAAACGAATCTACTCACCTTTCACAGGTATTTATTTAGAGAATAATAAGGCAATGTTATTCTTAATATAAAGTTAGTTTTGATGTCATAAAAAAATTGCAAATTGTCTTTAGAAGAAAATCATTTCCATTGTAAGATGTTAACAATTTTGTTTTTATATTTTATACTTAAATAATGATAATTTTTCTAAGTTGATTAATGTTAACTTATCTTATTGTGTTCATTTGTTAGCTACTTAATGATAAAAATAATTGTTCTGGTTTGAAACAACAATCTGTAAACAATTCCGTTGATATACTCTGTTCTGATAAGACCTTGCACAATTAAATCTTAACTAGTAAGATACAAGTAACTAATAACTTCAGCTACTATATTATAAATGTCTTAAATTACCTAGGTGTTTAATTTATTTGGGTTTCATATGTTAAATCTGTAAAATAACGAGCAGTTATTTTTTTTGTGACAGCTTTTATATGGTAGAATAGAGGTACTGGAGTAGAGGTACCCATTCAAACAACTTTTCTGCAAAGTTTTGTCATCAGTTGTTTGTTAAGGAACAGAATTTTGTTATAAAAAAATAAACCTATAAATAACTTTAATAAAATTCAATGCTTTTTAGGTGAAATATCTCCAGCTATGATCAAAGATATTGGAGTGGATTGGGTGATTCTTGGTCACTCTGAGAGAAGAACAATATTTGGTGAAACTGATGAACTTATAGCTGCTAAGGTAATTAATAAAAATATACTTCAAGTTATTTATCATCATAAGTTCCTTCAAAAATTATAATAAATATAAAAATCCTTATTAACTACATATTTTGTTTTTAGGTGGACCATGCCTTGGAGTCCGGTTTGAAAGTTATTGCTTGCATCGGTGAGACTTTAGAAGAAAGAGAAAGTGGTATAACTGATCAAGTTGTCTTCAAGCAGACTAAGGCTCTGATTCCAGCCATTGGCAATAACTGGAACAATGTAGTGTTGGCATACGAGCCTGTGTGGGCTATAGGTACTGGGAAGACAGCTACTCCCAAACAGGTAATTTATAGCAGAAAGTTGTATTATAATATTTGATACTATGTGAAAGATATTTTTTTTTTATTTTTATACCATAAAGCTTCTAATGTGACATTACATTACTTTGTTGCAGGCTCAGGAGATTCATGCAACTCTCCGCAAATGGTTGTCGACCAACGTATCTGAAGATGTGGCTAATTCCATCCGTATTCAGTATGGTGGGTCGGTGACAGCATCAAATGCTCGGGAACTGGGTGCTTGCCCGGATATTGACGGTTTTCTTGTTGGGGGTGCTAGCCTAAAACCAGAGTTCGTGGATATTGTCAACGCAACCAAGTAGGAGCTTAACATGTGTTATGACATGCTTGCTCTCTTGGGCGTACAGACAATATAGCGTCTGATTTTGTCGAATTCATGTATTTTGTATTCATTTTATTTACTCTGCTTGTTTATCTCTATTGTCACAGGATGTCCTATTTCCATGCACTCATGGTAATTTTTTTCAATGTAAATGTATCTACGTCTTGGGAAATTAGAGATACATTTATTTATATGTGCCGTATGTATAAATAAATGTCTCTTTTACATATTAAAATTTCGTATTATTCAGTTTTTCATGTAAACAATGTATTGTGTATTATTATACTGTAACATTGTTGGCAGTATTAATTTTGCTGAGTTTTATTTTATCAATAGTAAACATGTAGTTGTTCTATCAATGTTTTAAATTGAGTTAAAATTATAAGTAAGTAGCAATAAGCCAGCGGTATTGATAATATATAATACTTAAAATTGCATTACTTGTAATCTTATTGATAAATTTGTGGCTATAGATAACTTTAATCTATGTTCCTAAAAGACTAGTAAATGTGTTAATGTTTAAATTTATTGAATTGGAAATTCTGTTTTATAGGAGATGCTGCTAAATTTATTTTTGACTTTTTAAATTAAATTTATCAATAAAATGACATGTATTTTACAAAAATTCTATTTTTGATTTGTACGATTAAAGCTTTGATTTAATTACTTAATATGTTACATAAAATGATTAGTAAGGTATTTAGATTTTAAGGATATCAATTGTATAATCATAAGGTTTCATATTGTTTTTTTCGCTTTTATTTCTTATCGTTTCTTATTAAAGGAAACATTATTATATACTATTTGATAAGAAATTTAAATAAAAAAACTATATAAAATGAATTTCTTTTAATTAAAATACATTTACCTGGGTAGAAGTTGTCTATATAAATTATGCTATAAAAATTACAAACATCCACGCTCATATAGTCTTTTCATATTGCCATAATGTAAAACCTAATAACTAGTAGATAATAAAGACCCATAAGAGTTGAAATTATTTAACAATATTCTTAAAATAAGGTATTAATATAAAACCTTAAACCCATGTTTGGATTAATAGTACATTATTGTTGAGGCCTGAAATAAAGTAAGTATATGACAGTTGACTAATATTGGAAATATAAGATAAAACCGAGAAATTCTCCAGTAATTTTAAAAGAACGAGGCTACAGCCGAGTTCTTTTTAACTAAATGAGGCCGTTGTTCGCTGTTTGTACAGAGACTTATATAGAATATTTCACCAATTTGCAAAGAAATAATAAAGTAATTCAAGAAAGTTAATCCTATTATAATTGAACATTTTTGACAGGTATACTTGTTCATATAATGACCTATTTTTTGAACAACATAATTACAGTTATAAAATAGTACTACGAAAACATCCGTCACATTGTATTTCTTAAAACGTAACAATTTTAGTCATTGTTAATTTCATTCTCCATTTACTTTAATAAAAAAAAAAAATTATCGTTTATTATTATAATGATTTATTTTTTCTTTTAACACAGCTTGTGACATAGTCATTTCAAGTAAATCCCGTTTTCTTATCGTAGTTACTTTGTTATGTATCTAGGTGTCTATAAATAACTTTAAAAATCTATCTTCAGGTCAAGTCAAGTGGGTTAGGTAGGTGAGAGCCAAGTGCCAAAGGTCCATATTACATATATGTATATATTGCGATATTATCTAAAGTGGGTATTAAATCCAGTGCATTGTTGTAGTTGCATCCTAAATTGTTTTTTCTACTATGGATAGTGTTTTCTTAGCCGCGTCCGCTCCATGAGATCATAGTACGATCAGATCCTTAATTAAGATAGATAGTGAGGTATGTTTTCATGTACCTACTGTTTGACTAGTGTCTTTATCTCGAGCCTCCACATTCTATAACTATACCTATATTGGCTACAATTTATATATGATTATAAAAGTACTTCATTAAAATATGGTTTATAATATAATTCTCAGATGTAATAATACCCGTCACCTTCTTGTGCGAATAGTAATAGAGTATAACCATACACGATAAAATTACTGGGAAAAAAAAATGTTATAATTATTTCAGTGACAAAGAAAATATTATGCAGCGTAATAACAATGATTGTTGTTGTTTTAAATTACAAATGAGATTAAATTACTTACGTTGAACGTATAGCTTTACAATATGATAAGGTTTGAACCACTGGATAGAATTCAATGAATGCTTATTCAGCGTGGGTAAGTCTGGTTGATATTCATACCGTTAGGTATTAATTAATCAGCTTAATAACAGCATGGCATGTATCATTGCACATATGTATAGATTATAAGTGTACAAATCTTTCAAATCCAAAGTATTACTGTAGTCTATTTATTGTATAACTAGTATTGTAGTATTTATAAATTTTTATCCTAATAATAATATATTATAAATACGCATGTCGTGGCGGCCTTTAATTGAGGCAGCATTTTATAATTGTATTTTAAGTAGATATAAATGTATGCTTTGTTGGTTGTCCTTAAATAAATAAATAAACTATTCTACTAATATAACATTTTGTATATATATATATATATATATGTTATATATGTATAGTAACCCGATTCTCGTAAAAACACGCTTCGTTTAACACTTGAGAATGAAATTACATTTATTTATATAAAAACATTAACAACTTTAACAAATATTATAGCCCGTAAGCTTGTATGCCATCTTCGTGGTATAAAAAAAAAGCTTAGTACAAAACTAAGTTAGACCTTATAATAAATAGTAATAATAAACTTCTTATTGTGCATAATAAATATGAAGACAATAGAGACCTTCAGGAACACAACAGTGAAAATCGCATTCAATTTGGAGCAGTAATTTTGGTGTGATCCCGAACAAGTAGACATAAATTTAAATAATATTGTTTTGACATTTATTGCACTTATTAAGATCCCTTATATAAATAATAATAGTAATAAATATTAGATTAAGAGATAGGTTAAAAAAATGACATTATAAATCAGAATTTACTCGATGAGCGTTCCGTAGATAAAATAGTCTCTCTAAAAGTTTTTTGTCCTTTTTTATATAAAAAATATTTGAACTATATATATAAATATATATTATCATATTCTTTACAATATATTTAAATAATATTATCATATTATTTAAATATGTTCTACACAAGTTGTTCTTTTAGAAAGTGCTCTGAAATACCAAGAGAAATAAAAGCAATTATTGTCTACAAAACCAATATGAATTTGTTACAAGGTCGCAATTACATCCAAAAATCCATTGACAAACGCAGGGATTTTTTTAAACATAGTACTAGGATTTATAATTTCTAAATTTTAACATCTCCCTCTATTTACTAAGTAAAGCATATAGATATTATATAAAATAACCTTCTAATTATACTTTTTATTTGAAATAGATAATAATTATAATTGTTATTTAACTTAGGAATTCCGTATCTAGGCCATAACTGTGGCTACATATCTTGACAGCAAAAATAAGTTGTAGATGTAGCCCTTTCATATGATTGGACTAGTGTTTTGAAATTATTAATAACTCCTTTTGTAGTCCTTAGCAAAGGAAATAAAATTCTTTCAATTACTTTTCTATTTGTAACAACACTAATTGTAGTAAAATTATTCCAAATTTTAAATCCATAGCATTAGTAGTTGCTGAACTATGTACAGACGGACAAATACACATTATAAATATTTCTTTGTACCTTCTTGTAAGGAATCCTAAAAATCATTAAACTCTTGGTGTTTTTACTATGGGAATCGAGTTATAGATGTTAAGGATGTGCGTTGAATGGATTGCATGTTTCTTAAATGGCTGAAGGTTAGCAATATAGCCTGGTAGGCTGACCTCTCTGTGGCCACCCTAGAAACCATTGTACTGTATTCGAGGTATATTCATCACGATTACCTAACTGACCTGCTTTTTCATTTTCACCTATTATCCCTTACTGGTGCCCTGCTAGCGTAAACCGTTAGCGCAGGCAGGGTCACCATTCCATTATCATTCATAAAAAAATGCCTAAAGGAATTCGAATTATATAATACATTGGTGTTAAATCATACCTAATCCTATTAATAATATCCTTTTAAGTTAGCTTTAATAATATTTTAATAATTATTTCTATATAATGCATAGAATTTAATTAAAATATAAACAATAAACTGATCCGACGAAAGTAATAGACTGTAGGTATTTAGTAGTAAAGAGTGAAAAAATCACGTTTTAGTAGTTATTTGCAATAACAAAAATAACAATTTTACCGTGATTTAGGATTTCAGCTCCTATAAAATTAAAGCGGATTCAGTATCAAGTTAATTACGAAAATTATTTATAATTTGGTCTAATAAATTGTATAGAGTTGTTTTAAAGAAATTACATACTTATAATGCCCTGACAAGAAGTTACCGTTAATAAGCCTTTACTAGTATTTATTGTTTATATATCTATGCCTCCCATGGTTCTTACCCATATTAAATCGATCTTAAGTACAATATTAGTATGCATTTAAGAACTTTATAGATAAATAAACGAAATTTAAATTAAGCTCTGCGGTTTATGAATAAGTCGAGAGTTAAAAATGAGATTTACTTGTTAATAATTAAATAAAACTGAGTGGTGCTTGGAATCGTAACCTTTTATAAGGTACTAAGGTACTACCTGTTTCAGTAGGACCTAATGAAAATTTTATCATACATTTAATTGGATTGACTAAAAGACTGATGTCTAATATATGTATGTGCATCATGTGAAAAATAGATTAAATAATTAGTTTAATGTTTTCATTTGTTACAATTTAGTTTAAAGTTTTTATGATAATTTCAACAAACTTGGTTACCTTTTCATCGAATTGTTTTGAAACAGATAAAATCTGTATATCTGTTTGACCTATATTTTATTTCACTTGAGAAGCTGAAATCAAATGGTATGCAGGTATTATTGCGGGATATAAGGTGATTTTTTTTATTAGGTATAAATAATCACCGCTGAGTAAAGGCCCTTTATCTATATTTTATATATATACCTAGTTAGATAGGCAGAATGCGGAATGATTCCACGAACCGCTGTTGTGTAACTCAAGTTTCGTTTAATAATTAAAACTAATCGTATGTCTTACTCGTAAAAAGACACTCAATGTTATTATTGATTTTAAACTTGATTTATCAATATAACACGGTCCTGACAGTAGCAATTTGGTAAATTTTGTGATTTCCTTGCTATCTTTATATTGTACATAAATAAGACTTTAAAATTTAGTACTTATGTAAAGCGTATTTAAATGAGAAATAATTATTTGCTAATGCAAATAATATATTATATTATATAATAATTTTGCAATAATCATCTTCTGTGCATTGTATCATATGATCCCACAACATATAATATGTGAAAAAATGTCAAGTCTCGTAACGTTGTTCTTTTACTACAAAAAGTTGTGAAATCTCATGTAATGAAAACCAAATCAATTATTTTAGTTAGTCTATCTAACAATTTTGTTAATAATTGGTTTAAATCAATATTTATCAACTTATCAATAAATCAATTACCTATCAACATTTATAGTGACCGTATTAATATTAGACATTTTTATTTCGATAATTATTGACTATGTTGAACTGCTGAAGTATATGTACATTACTAGAAATATACCCTAATAGGTTGACTTCCATGCGGTTCCCCCTGGAAACCATCGTGGTTATTTTTTGATGGCGATGATTGATCATGACGAGCTAACTTACTTCATCTTCACTTGTCATTCCTCCGTGTTGTTCTGCCAGCGTATACCGATACCGCAGGCGGGTTTGCTATACCATTATCATCCATAAAAAAGAAAAAAAAAACATACCGAGAGATCAACCAACGAATCCAACTCATTTGGACAGCGTTCGGAAAATTACGTCACATTTTATTATCGAAAATACTTCAGTTTGAAGACGAAGGTCTTTAAGCAGTGCGTGTTGCCAGCGACACCCTACGGAACCGAAACATGGTCCTACACAGTTCCCGTATGCAAAAGCTTCAAGTTACTCAGCGAGCTGTGGAGAGGACTATGATCGGAGTTTCTTAGCGTGACAGAATCCGAAATGACGATACATATTCGCAAAAGAACTAATGTGACCGATACCGCTAGTAAGATAAGCACATTGAAGTGGCAATGGACTGGTTGTATATCTTGAAGAACTGATAACAAATGGGGAAAGAATATTTTAGAGTAGCGACCTATTCAAGAACCTTTCTTGGTGGCAATATAATTATTATAGAAGATTGATAATACTGATATGGTCACTATAAATATTGATTGGTAATTGATTAGATAATAATTTATAACACAGTTGTTGAATAAGTGCTTATATTTAACATGATTTTTAAGAATGATTATTTTTAATTTTTTCTTTCTTTATAGGCAAACACTAGCTAAAATTCACAATTTACAGTGTGTGAGATTGCTAGAAGTACCTTAGAATTTTGACGATCGGTGAGTGTCAGTGACAAAATTAATGAATTGTCACTAGCGATAATTCATAAAGTAAAATGTATAATTATTATTTATTATTAATAGGCAATATAGCCAGGTATAGTACTATATATTCTCTTAATCATTAAAAATTTTAACTTCCTACTTTATCCACAATAAAGTTACATGGAGTCAAAAGTGCCGAAAGTCGCTTCGAAAAAGAATAGTACAACTTTGCTCGATATGGTGTCAGTGCCGTGCCCCTTGATTTGACCACCTTCATAACGCAGTGGTGGGCATAATGCTTTGCGTATAAGAGGTCGAAGGTTCGATTTTCGGTTAACCTATTTTAGAAAACTAAATTTTCTAAATTGATTTGGGTTGGGTGTTTTAGGTTGTGGCCCTAGAGAATCTTTGCCGGGTTCCTCATGGTATAAGGTATCGTAGCTCGAGGACCAGGCAATTGGTGTGATTATATATAACTTGTATATATATAGACAATAAACAAGGACAATTTGTAATTAATCTTTGAAATTATATCGATATATTTTACAGGATATCGCGAATTAACCGAATAGGAAGGATTGCACGATTATAAAATCCATTGATTGTAGATATACTCGTATCTCTACTAATAAAAATGAATGTAAAAGTGAATTTGTTAGTTTGTTACCTCATAGGTGTTTAACGGCTTAACCAATTATTATGAAATTTGGTATACACGTTCTATACGAAATGGAGAAATATATATACTACTTTTTATTCTGGTCAGTAAACATATCCTGGTCACGCGCATGCAAACAAAGTTCCGAGTAAACGCCAGTTCTCTATAATTATATCTCCTTCGGTTAAAAATTATTTATTCTTTCTGCATAATATTTAACATCATTATTTAATATTTTAAATACAATGCTGATATGATATATATATATATATATATATATATATATATATATATATATATATATATATATATATATATATATATATATATATATATATATATATAGTTAGTTGTAACTGAAGATAATATACATTAGATCCATTGAAGAGGGAATTGAAGTCGTTTATAATGTAACTACCTACCTACTTTATATCTATACCTTATGTATAATGGAGTATAGATGATCCTTCATGTTGTGGTCAAATATACTTGTTTAAATTTGGTCATCTTCAAACACAGTTTTGCCTAGAATAGGTAAATATTTCACAACTGGACCTCCATAAGAGAACATAACCTTGACAGGCTCGAACCACGACGCCAAATACGAAAAAATTAGCATCCAGAAGAAGAATTTAACGATGCAGTCCAATGTGAAGAGGCTGAAAAAAATAATATTAAGTACAATATATAGGCAATATAATAGTAACTGGAAAATGAATAAATGGACTAAATAATATTATATATGAATGCTTTAAGACAGTTTAATGATCTCACAGTCTTGTATAATAACCACAAACCCATAGATCTAGGTTTGTGGTTAAAAGTTAAAGTTACTCATCAAACTTTCTAATTTGTTTCTAATAGCAGTAAAATGTAACAATAACTAGTTCGCAGCCGCAACCACTTTTACTGATTTTTCTATAATCTTATTTTTTACTTATATACATATATAAAGTATAATCCTTAGTTAACTACAATGGCAACGTAAAAGCATGAGAATGGCAGCATTATAATTAGGTATTACTTTTTTTGATTATAGGCTATTTTCTATATGGTGGGCCACCAATTTTTTATGTATGTGAAAGGATTGCAAATGGTAAGTAGCCTCATTTTATTTAAAGACAACATCGGTAGCTGGCAATGTATTAGCAACATAGGAGGATTCACTGATGCGTTGACGGAATTCTAAAATCCATAAAAAATACTGCTTGAAAAATGTGACAAATTCCAGTGACACATATATACCTTTAGAATTATTTAGATTGAATAACCAAACAATACTCACAAGTTGTGGTAAGCTCTGTTTCTGCCTATTTTATTCGGGTCTTCCTTAAGACAGTATATACGTCCTCCCTCTATACATGCTCTTAAGTATTCTTCCCGGTTAGAAGTTCTATGATCCATATTGTATATAATTTTTTCTTCGTCGTTTAATATTGTTTGTAGGCTATCATAATTAGGACAGGGGAATGTCCATGGACGCATAGTGAAATATTGCAGAACGTCTAGTCCTTGGCTTATTCTGTCTTGGATTCTCACCATACTGCAATTAATATATTTGTATATTAACATATTTGTAGAATCGACATTTATTGTTCATATTGATGATAAGTAAGTATCATGTGTATTTTTTTGTAATTATTAGTTCAGCTCATAATTTCAAAACATGAAAATTTACTTTAAACTCATATTCCTATTGTTATCTTACAATTAAATACAATAGGAAAATTTAAGAAAAAAAAAATATCTTGAAAGCTCTTAATTAGAAGTTAATTATAATATACTAACTATTACTTAATATTTATGTTTGTTCCGTATTTTATAATTATAATTCATATTACGCAAATATGAATACGGATTTTCAAGTTTTCTTTCTGAAGGTCTAATATAAAATTCTATGTATGTTTTATTTAGACACGCATTCTAGAGTAACTAACTGTATGCATGCGTACGCTATAGTAGTGTGGATTTCGTAACATTTATTATATGAAATGGTAATACCAATATAAATACGAAGCTATTTATCTGTTTGTATGTTTTCTGCTATCATTATCCGTAGAATATAGCGCAACATTAATAAAGTGCAAAATTAATTATTATATTAAATACTCACAATCGCTTTTGTCCCAAAATGAGCATAAGTAAATCAATAAAATAAGCTGGCAGAAGATGAAATAGGAGCCGGTAGATTTCGTGTAATATCCTATTAGTGGTTATGTCTCCATTGGGGTACCACAATGGCCATTCTAGAGGATACTTGCGTCCGTAAACTTTGCCAATTTGCAATACTCTACCCCATGTCATAGGGTTTTGATGACCATTATTCAAATTGTATACCGGAACAGTTGGAGATCTATGAAAAAAGTAAATAACATATTTAATGAGCGTGTTGTAGTGATCAAGATTTTAAACTCACAAGAAAACCGTTTAGTATGCCAGAGATCGGGAAGATGGCAAGAAATAGCTAGTAAGTTAGATCAGAAACATCACAACGCTCAACAGTCAAGTAATGACTAGAGAGAGAGAGAGAGAGAGAGAGAGGGAGAGATTTAATATATGTAGCTTTTGTAACTAACTTTTCTTTCTTTGTGGCTTCAACCATTCCCATAACAATCAATGCGTTGATGGCTGTATCTACAGGTATAACTTGTGCATTTAAGCTGCCGTCACATAGCATGGTGCGGATGACGCCTTTGCCAGCTCCCAACATTAATCCCACTGGTCCGTTGAGACTGTCCACCCAGCCACTCATTGGCTCCAGTACCGTCGGGCATACTGAAATACATAATTATAATAGTTTTAAGAACCGTTTTTATCTTACGACTACCAAAAGTAGGGGGGCTAGCAATATACCCAACCAGGATGACCTCTACGCGATTCCCCCTGGAAACTATCATGGTTAATTCCTGATGAATTTATTATGGTAGGCTGACTGGGCTATTTTCATTTACACCTATCATTTCTTATTGGGTCGCGCCTAACGGTATATTAGCTAAGGTAAGATTGCCATTTCATTTTCACTTATAAAAAAATACTACCAAAAGTAGAAAGTTCTCGATTCTTTTGAATAACTTTTACGTCACCATATGTTTTTTATTTCTCTCAATTACTTTGTACCGATTCTGATTATTATTTTTAGAATCGATAGGATTTTCTTATGTTTTTGTCTCATATTAATTTTGTGGCGATTGAAGCTATTTTTTCATGCAAAGTCAAAAACTGTATGTTTTAGAGGAACGTCTTCTTATAGATAAACTATTTATTGTTCTAAATCTGATTATTTTCAAATTAACGTGTCTACGTTCGTCGGTGCGTGGGTGTGTGTGCGTTAATGATTAAAGTTGCTTTTCGTTAGAGCAAAATGTACTTGTTATGATTGTGTTTTACATTAGCGGTCTATTTGTTACTCAACAAACCTTTTGTAGTTTTGTATTTCGATGGAACATATGAATTTTTGTGCGATAATATAATATAAGATTTGCAACAAACCGCAATCGTTAAGAGTTTTATAAATGGCCACAATGGCAATAAATAGTGGTACATACAAAACTGATGACAATTTAATATGATGTCCAAAGCCTTTTTTTACCTATAGAGCAATAGATTACGGACAGAAATATGAAACATCACGATAAGTGAAATACTAGGCGCTTATGTAGAAAATAGACATTTATTATGGATATTCTAGGCAATATGGCTATTTTCTACATAACTAGCTGAGAGAGGGAGACTTTGTACAAAAGTCGTTTGCTTAGGCACCTCTGCCCCATTCGTGTTTCTACTGTGAAGCAGTCGTATTTGCATAACTGTGTTTCGGTTTGAAGGGCGGAACATAGCAGTGAATTTATAGGGTACAGAGGAATAACACCTGAGTCCTCAGGAATGGCAATGCATGGGGGCACATATAAGCATATTAACATATTTGTATTATTTTTTAAGTAGTGCAATAAAGATTAATAAATAATTATTTAAATAAATAATTATTAGTATTAGGTACCTCCAGTATAAAATAGTGTGATAATTAATACATCTATTGGTTATGTAATACAATTATGTGACTGTGTTTTGGTTTGAAGTTTGTTTAATGGGTGTTTATGGACAATATGGAATGAACCCCGCCTGCACTATTGATATTTACCGGTGGAGTGCCAGTGGCTTTTTGTAAGTGAGGATGAAAACATAGTGTACAGCCTAACGTGATGAATTTAACAAGAATTAAGCACGATGATTTCAAGGAGGAATCGCCTTGATAGGGTAGGTCGACCTGGTAGAGTAATTGCTAGCAATAGACCTCCCATTAGACGGAGTGATGATCTGAAATGCATTGTAGGTAGTCAGTGGATGCAGGTGGCTTAGGAACATTTTTTATGGCAGTCTATGGGGGAGGCTTTTGTCCAGCAGTGGACGGATAATGGCTGAAATGATGATGATGATGTTGAGATCATTACTAATAATTCCTTTCTCTCCGGCATGTGGAATATAGCAGTGAAATTATAGGGTATAGAGGCATTATACCCTAGTCACCAGGAATAGCGACGTATGTAGGTTAACATGGGTATCACCATTGGGCATTGCTTTTTCTGTTGTGAGGGAGCAATGTATGTGTTGTTGTATTACATTGTAAAAATTAAGAAATCTTTAGTGTTTTATTGATCACTAGGTATCCTTAGTTTTTATAAAAATTTAAAATCTTGTTAAGTTTACTTATTGTCAATTTACAAAAGTGGTATACTTAATTAGTACATAAGTGTTATACTTAACTAGCAAGCACATGTTCGATTATACTACTTACCAATACTAGGACGGGCAATAGCAACAGGTAGTTCATCATAAGCCTTCTCAATGACATTTTCAGCTAAACGCTTAGAGTACGTGTAGCAGTTGGGATGAGCTCCTAGCAGTGAAGGAGTTAGCGCTTTAAGTTGCTTATCGTCCATCCATTCTATTATACGCATTATATCTTCGGGGTTGGCTGGTGGAGCATGAATCTGGAATTCATAAATTTAGTTTGTTGAATTATATTAAATAAATAAATAAATATTGCTTCCAATCACACTGTTTATAATTACTTTTCTCCATCCAAAGATTACCTGACAGAGGTCGCTCTTAGTGGTAAGGCCATCTATTGTTTTCTCAGTGTAATATTTTATTGTAATTGTTTGTATTTATAATAAGTTTACCATTGTAATCTTATGGAAAAAACAAAAAAGAGTATCTATCTATTGCGGTCGCTTGTTCGAAGTTTTAGAATCTTTAAATTGGACACAAGGGAGATCTTATAGTGCAAGTTAATTATTTTATCTGTGCTTTCATAAACTTATATTGGTTATAAAATAAACAAAAAATGTATGTAAATATAAATAGGATAATTTACAAATAATGACTCGTATGTTAAAATTATTATATTTCGTATTTGCATACAACGACTTGCATATTATAATATACAACTATAATTTTGAATACACGTGTTGCATAGTAAATTACGTATATTCAAAATGTGCATAGTTTTATAAGAATGGATTTATTATTTAATACTGATTTCAATGGTTAATGGTATTTATTTATCTACAATTTACTCGTATTTACAATAAATAAGTACAAAGTTTAAATATGCACTATTGATCTTACCCTTTCTCCTAGAGATTCGTAATCTGGGTAGCAGAAAGCTGTTGAAAGATGAACAAAAATAGCTAGATTTTTCAACCGTCTCGCGACATTCAAAGCTCTAACGGTACCAGAAGTATTCATGTTGACATTGTCCTTCAGGGGTGCTTCCAGTTTCAAGGTTGCTGCAAAGTGGAAAAATACTGATATCTCCTTAGATAATTCCTCAATGTCCTTTTCAGATAAACTGAAATTTTCAAATAAAACGTCGCCTTGTAAAGCTTTTATTTTCTTCAATGCGGCGGGACGTTCTTGTCTTAAACGGTCGAACAACTGCAAAAATAATAATAATAATTCGGCGAGTACTCCAAAGAACATTTAGATAAAAAAAGGCGAAACAATGGTGAAATTAAACAATAGAAGTTTATATTGGATCTATATTATATATAACTATGTAATGAAATACCAATTCTTCCTCTCCAAGACGAAAAACATTGAGGGTACAATTGGTGCATTCACGGTTAAGTTTGGTAACTCCTAGGAGTAACTCTTACTTATGTCGTATTATCAAAAAGAAATGGACGATTTCCATTTCTATATATGCTCTTTGATTTCCAAACTAGAAGCGATCCAGAGACGCGCGAATAAACAACTAATATCAATCAATTAATCAATACTGATAACAAAATCATAACTGGTCGCTGCCTGTACATGAAAGATATATCAGAAAAACTATTTTTATAGGCTTTATGAACGTGTTAGATATTTATTTTAAATTATATTATTTTTTTAAACATCTAGTGTCAAAATGTGTACCTATATTTATTAATAAAATCAAAGTAACTACTTTAAAAATAATAAAATGTTAAAATTGTTATTACATCAAATTTTGCAATAAGTTATTCTTGTAGGATTTATAAAACATTGATTTATATTTTAATTGATTTTTTAATTATTTTTTAATATGATACTTGAACAAAAAGTAATAAGATTGTAAGAACACGTGGTCTCGCTGGCTTGTTTACTCGAATTCGACCCTGTACATATAAAAGATTGTTATTTGGGTGGGGAGGCACTTCTTGTCCAACCGTTGAATAGAGCGGATCAAGAGTATCAAGAGTGAACAAATATAGGAAACTATGTGGTTATTATATAAAATAAGCTGACCCAGCAAACGTTTTGCCATATACATTATTTGGAGAATATTTTTTTTTGTCCATTAAAAAAAATATTGGGGAGTGTCATCCTTATCATTGAGGGGTATGAAAAATAGATGTTGGCCGATTCTCAGACCTACCCAATATGCACACAAAATTTTATAAAAATCGGTAAAACCGTTTCGGAGGAGTTTGGTAACAAACACCGTGACACGAGAATTTTATATATAAGATATATCACAATTATTGTTGATGAAAGTCCTAAAGAAGCTATAGTTAAATAAGTGTCAATGGATTAACAGAAGTTGGATATTTATGTTATATTATTTGTTATACCTTATATACAAAGTAAAATAAGTATGTTTATGCACGCTAATCTCAGTAGTGGCTTAACAGATTAGAATGTGATTTTCACTAATACGTTGCGGTTGGCTCCGCTTAACATTTATTTGTTTTACTTCAATCAGTTCATAAATAAAAAAGTTACATCAGAAAAAATAAACACAGTCGCGCTTGCTGTGGTCCCACGCAGTGCAGCGGGCAACGCAGCCAAGATCACAAGGGAAGTGTGGGAGACATGGACAGACGTGTGATGTGGCAGACGTGCACATGACATGTCTGTGACACATCACTTATACCCTGCGTAAAGATATATTTATTCCATGTTTATTCCATAATGTTTAAAAAATAATATATATGTGTATATAACTAGTCTGGCCATAAATATTGTTCTTTATTATTTGTTCTTTTTTTAACTTTTTAATTATTTTGAATTTGGAACACGTTTATTATTTTAAAAACTTCTTTCAATTGCGCGCCATTGTACTTATATGTACATTATCAAATTACAATATAGAATGGGGTATTAAAGAAAATAGGATTGCAGTGATCGCCTTGCACAAAGTGGGTATGGAGCCGTCGATCATATTCCAGGCACTTCAAAAGCTTGGTTTCATCTGTATGTTCGTATATCGTACTATCAACAAATATAACAACACTTTCTCTGTCGAAGACCAGAAAAGATCGGGACGGCCGCCTGCTGTTAGAACTACAAAGGCTATTAATGCTGTTAAAGCCAGAATTCGTCGAAACCCCATTAGTAAACAAAAAATCCTATCGCGAGAAATGAAGATTTCCGCTAGGACTCTGTCGCGTAATATAAAACAAGACTTAAACCTCGGTGCTTATCATCGATAAAGAGGACATGCCCTAAATCAATCTTTACAATTAGAGAATGGATCGATTAAAATGCCTTCTGTCGCGATACGCAGGTGAAAGCCACAGAAATATCCTCTTTACCGATAAAAAATTTTTCACGATTGAAGTATATTACAAAAAGAAAAATGATAAAGTGTATGCTCATAGTCCTAAAGAAGCTGCTCAAGAGGACGGAAAGGTACAACATGGTCATAATCCTGCGTCAGTGATGGTTTGGTGGGACGTGTAGTCACAAAACTACATTTTTGTAAAAAAGGAGTGACAACTTCAGCCAAAGTGTATCAAGATACAGTCTTGGATCGTGTTATGAAACTTCTCGGCAATACACTTTTTAAAAATATACCGTGGACTTTCCAGCAGAAGTATGCACCTGGTCACAAGGCACGAAATACCCAAGCCTGGATTGAAACCAACGGAAAAACAGACAACTATTTTAAAAATCATTGTTTTGTTATTATGTGTATTGATTGATTGATGATTGATTGATTGACATATTAATTAATACTTGCACAATTTGTAAGTTCATGTGTACATACGTGTATGCATATTTACTACGAAGTGTATAGACATCAAATGCTATAGAAAAGATAATATCACCAGTAGTTATTGTCGATCAAGGGCATTGCCGTGAAGACCAGCTGCTAGGTATGTAGGTCACAAAATTACAGTGGGTCCCAATTTTGCTATTGTTATCGGAAATAAATAAATTACCGGTAATCGTTGCATATCTTCCAGACGTTGCGTAAATGATTTTCCTCGTTTTGGTCTCATCAGGACATAAATATTTCCAAGATCAGGAATAGAATAAAGAAGTTTCTCTATGAGTACTTTCCCCATGAATCCAGATCCGCCAGTCAAGAGAATGTTTCGACCTCTGTAGAAATCCCTTACGGACATATTGGCCTCCATATCTGTTAAAAAGAAGAAAATATTTAAATAGGACAATATTTAAAGAATCACTTCTTATTAGTATATATTTATTTTATTATTTATATTAAAGGAATCAAGAAATATCTAAAGATGAATACATAATATGTTAGGAAAGACTGATGATAAAGATGCAAATTATCTTATTACATTGTATTTGATGTTAATAACAAAGATAATTTTTGATTGACTTGCAATGAGCCAGCCTGCCAGGTGTTATAATGTTGTTATACCTAAACAAATTTAAAAATAAATTCAGAATCCATTTATTTATATATTTTATGCAACTTAGAATGGCAAACAAGCTGATGGAAAGTGGTAGCCGTCGCCTATAGACGTTTAGTTGTGATTTTCATATTTTAATGAGATGATAAAAGCGGTTATCATTACATAAATGTCCAAAGTAAACAAAATCGATTTATATAAAGAATTATAGTTCCTAATTTCAATATTTTAAATCTATAAATAAAGTAGAGAGAGGGAGAGAAGCATCTCTCTCTCTCTACTTTATTTAAACATGTATTTATATAAACATATTTTTATTTGTGTATGTACACAATGTTATTTACTTGTATTTAATTTTAATGTAAATATTTCGATTTTATAATGATTTTAATTATCAGTCAGGAGTTAGAATTCAATGTTGTCATTTAGGTGCCCTGGGTTTTCAGTTAATTAGCAGTCGAATAATAAAGTTATTAGTTCGGTACTAATTATTCAAATAACAAAATGGCGCGAATCTCAATGATTCATGCACCGCTACCAAGAACGCAAAGATATCATCATATACCAGAGGGAGACTTTGTACAAAAGTCGATTGCTTGGGTACTTCTGTTCCATTCGTGTTTCAACCGTGAAGCAGTTATGTTTGCATGGCTGTGTTTCGGTTTAAAGGGTGGGATATGGCGTGAATTTACTGGGTACAGAGGAGTAACACCTGTCCATGGTACTGCTCATGTCTATAGGCGACGGTTACCACTTTAGATCAGGTGGGCCGTCAGCTTGTTTGCTATTCTAAGTTGTATAAAAAAAAATCCTGTACATTTTCGATCACGTGATACCAGATAAAAATATGATGAGTTTTTTGTTTTATGCATAATTAATCATATATAATTTTTGGAGGATTAAAGCATTCCGCTTTTAAAACTCCTAGTTAAACGGATGACATTAAATATATCTACATTTTTTATATTGTTAAATAACCTATTATAAAAGCTAATTAAATTTGCGTGCGAATGATATTTCCTATTTTGGTTGTAGATCTATTAGCGTCCTGAGGGCTTACCACGAAATATTTTCCGAAATTTCGGGGACGAACGAAAAAGAAATTTGATGTTAAAATTACATAATACATGCCGTTTAAAATTATTAAAAATATTAAAATATCGTTCCTTTGGACTATTAGGAAAGGATTTATGATGAATGAACCGTTAAGCTCCATTTACTGGGTCGATTTAGGTACGAACAAAAACACGAAATTGAGCCCGAAAATTCGGAATTTCATTTCATGGTAGGCCTCCAGGTTATATAAAAGTAATATACAACAATGATTAATACTAATTTTACCAATCCTAAACGCATTCGAATTAAATTGTAAGTAAGAACTCTGATAGTGGGTACATATGGTTGAGATACCTATTTAAAATTATCTCTGTACCTAGTTCTTATTCACCTTTTTTTAGATTTGTTGTATTTATCTTTTTGCATAGGATACTGTTATAACATACATAATTTTTAACAACGCCTCTCTTAATCTACTAGGCATGAATTTCTATTCACAGAAGGAGATATTATAGCCCTGGCTAGGCTGTTTAGTATAGGATTTCATTTCCAACTTTTCTTCTCTTATATTGATACATTTACATAAATTTAGATACATACTCGCCTATTGTGATGTTTTAAGAGTGCAATGAATGATGGTGATATTTTTACTTCGTCATAATACGAGAAAACATCTATTTTAATAATTTTGCTCTACTCTACTACATTAAGTGTAGATATAAATTCACTCCTCGCCTACTTGATATGAGTTCAGGGTACGACCTCATCTTAAACCTTGAATAAATCTTATGCAATGATTGCGTAGCTATTAAATATTTTTTACTTGGCCCTTATATTACGATTCGATGATGATATTAACTTAAAGAAATAGAATGATCGCGTATATATATTTATAAGATCCGATGGCCTTAAACTTATTAATACCTCAGTGTGCAATAGATTACAAAATTTTACCTCCTCTGTTTCGAAATTAATCATTTATTAAAAATAGAATCCAACTTTGCTAGTTCCAATGTTTTAATTAAACCAATTTAGTTAGCGAGGATTATAAATTTTACTTCTGCTAAATTATAATGTACTTCATTTTTATCATTGGAATGTTAGGTACAGGGATAAGCTACATAGGATAACGCCATGGGAATGTAACTATATTATAAACCCATTTTACACGGAGATTAAAGATAAGCCTTTCAACTGATGTAACCTTAAAAATTCAGATAAATTGTGAATAATATTTCTGAATATACCTTTAGTATTTAATCGATCTGTCGAAGCATTTTTATTATATTTTACAATAATGAACAAAGGCTACATAGTTACACAGTAGATACCTAACTCTCCTACCTGTATAAGGGAGTTAGGTATTTATTTGTTAGTCAGTAGTTACGTAGCAGTTATGAATTAAGCAGATAGTAACTTTAATATTACTAATTTCTAATTGTTTTTCATATTCAGTTTTCATTAAAACATAGTTCTTAAACTTATTAAATATACTATATAATTAAATATTTAGGTAATTATTATTAATCACTCTTAAACATCACATTTTATTAATTAAAATAAAAAGAAAGAAATAAGATTCTAAGTACTTTGCCACAAGTAACTTTAAGTGTGTAAAAAGTAGGTATCTAAGGTCATTAGCATTCCATTCTCTTTATTTGTCCAAGTTACAGTAATGAAGATACGCAGATTTTTGTTTTATACGTTATATCTAATTGAAATGGTAAACAAGTGGATGACCTAACTAATAAAAGAAGTTATTGGTCCTAAGCAATACAGTAGAAACAAAATACATATTCTTATTTTTTAATGGTCATTTTCAATATAAGTCGCTTAGATTGGTTGTTACTAAATTACTAAATTTCCCCGGCTGTGATGTTTATGTTACCTCAGGGCCATAGCTAGCCCTATGGAGAGGTAGAGCAGAACTTTTTGGTAGGGCAGAAGCCATAAGTAAGAATCTGTCTAATTTTCTTGAGGCCTTTCATTTTAAGTTAGGGCATTGGGCCTTTTAAGGTATCTCATTGCTCCTCAATGCCCCTTCTTTAGCTACGACCATGTATTACCTAGATTACTACTGTGACTTATTAATATCATTCTTTATATTACCAAAATATAACTAAATTGCATTTCTCAACAACATAGGCACTTATATCATCGATTTGGTAATGTAAAACGAAAGAATAGAACTGGCGTGTTTCGTAGTGATTAACTTTCCCTTTTTCGGGTGGCCCACAAATGGAGTCGGCGACAGGGTTACCACAGTTATTTTACGAATTTAGATATTTATCACAAATTTAACGCATAAAATTGAATCTTATGTCTCTGATATTATATACCATATTAATATTTTAATTATCCAAAGTAATCTACTTTAATAATGAATAATTACTTCTTTGAATTTTGTAGAATGGGCCACCCCTGTGTATGTCGTAATAGGCGACTAAGGGAACTTAATGGTTGGGAAATAGGCAGCAGCGTCCCTCTTAAAACATTACCAAAGCTTTACTGCGGTTGTCAAACGTATAAAATAATATTTCTTTAGTGACATTTAAACAGATTGTTTTATTGAATTACTTTTTACTAAAACAATTTTAGTGTACTTTATAGGTACTGGTCACTATCCACAACTGTGGTCTTATTTATAAATGTGGCCAGAAGAAATTAAAGGATGTTTAAAATCATACAAATTTATAAAAGTGTAACATAAATCCTTAATAACATAAAACATACACTATATTCTAAATTCGACCTTGAGAAAGATAACTGTGGAGACCGCATTAAAATTGGTGAGGTATTTTTTGCGTGATGCTAGAACAAACATAAAGATAAATAGACAAACTTTCTACAATTTATTATTTTGCCTTCATTTGTTCGCAATAAAATTTCTTACATCATTTTTTAACCCTTCTTTGCATGATTTTTTTTTAATGGTGAAATAAATCAAGTTTATATAATTCATGTTCAAAATTAAAGGAAAATTGGTTAAAAAAATAAATTTGACAACTATGTTTCGTTTTTTGCAATAGACATTAAAAAGCTATCCAGACACGATCAACTTAAAGTGAACTTGGTCTTTTATATAATTTTTGGGTATTCAATGTTATGATGGAAATTTCCACCATTACGCAAAGAAGAACCTTTCATATATCGACATCGTCTAGTAACAATTTTATTAAATTAGTAAGATAGTTAGGTAAGATTAACAATCGGCAAGGTAAAGTCTTGAAACAAGTAGCGGGTATAAATAATAAAAACATTTTAATAAAGAGAGTGGGACAAAGTAAAATAAAGTATATGTAGTCAATATAATGAAGTTGCATCAGGAAGTTAATACTGAATTAGCTGTATTTTTAATATGATGACATGTTTTTAATATTTTTTTTTCTAATAATGTAATGAGTAAGATATATCCACTTTTACACAAAGGGCAGCCCTATTCATGAGGCATGAATGGCGCGCGCGCAGTCATCTACGGAACACGTGAATGGTTCTATAACTCCAAGGCCCATCACTATAATGGCTAGTAGGTACCTCACTGGAACGAATAATTAGACCAAAAAACGCCTCCAATGTTTACGTTGAACAGTAAAGTTCGTTCACCTGCTTTCTAATCTTTTTGATGTTGCTCATTTAAATTATGTAATATGTTTTTTGTATCTCCAGATCTATTATTAAAAATGGTTAGATATTATTTAGAAAA